TTTGGAGGGAATTTGGGATTTTTGGGGGGAATTCGGGTTTTTTTGGGGGGGAATTTGGGATTTTACGGGAGAAATTTGGGATTTTTGGGGGGAATTTGTTTTTTTGGGGGGGTGGGTGTGGAAATTTGGGATTTTTGGGGGGAATTTGGGATTTTAGGGATTTGGGTGTGGAAATTTGGGAGTTTTGGGTGGAAATTTGGGATTTTGGGGATTTAGGGCAGGAAATTTGGGATTTTTGGGGTGGAAATTTGGGATTTTGGGGATTTAGGGGTGGAAATTTGGGATATTTGGGAGGAAATTTGGGGTTTTGGGGGAAAATTGGGATTTTGGGGGAAAACTTGGGAATTGGGGACTTAGGGCGAGAAATTTGGGATTTTGGGTTGGAAATTTGGGATTTTGGGGATTTAGGGATGGAAATTCGGGATTTTTGGGGGGAAATTTGTGGTTTTGGGGGGAAATTTGGGGTTTTGGGTGGAAATTGGGATTTTGGGGACTTAGGGCGAGAAAATTGGGATTTTGGGGATTTAGGGTGAGAAATTTGGGATTTTGGAGTGAAAAATTGGGATTTTGGGGATTTAGGGGTGGAAATTCGGGATTTAGGGCTGGAAATTTGGGATTTTGGGGTGAAAATTCGGGATTTTTGGGGATTTTGGGGCTTTCAAGAAAATTTTGGGATTTCAGGAGAACTTTTGAGGATTTAGGGGTGGAAAATTGGGATTTTTGGGAGGAAATTTGTGGTTTTGGGTGGAAATTGGGATTTTGGGGACTTAGGGCGAGAAATTTGGGATTTTCGGGATTTGGGTGTGGAAATTTGGGATTTTTGGGTGGAAATTTGGGATTTTTGGGGGAATTTGGGGGTTTTTGGTTGGAAATTTGGGATTTTAGGGATTTGGGTGTGGAAATTTGGGAGTTTTGGGTGGAAATTTGAGATTTTGGGGGGAAATTTGGGATTTTGGGGACTTAGGGCGAAAAATTTGGGATTTTGGGGATTTAGGGGTGGAAATTTGGGATTTTGGGGATTTAGGGGAGGAAATTTGGGATTTTTGGGTGGAAATTTGGGATTTTGGTGATTTAGGGGTGGAAATTTGAGATTTTGAGGATTTAGGGGTGGAAATTTGGGATTTTGGGGGGAAATTTGGGATTTTGGGGATTTAGGGGTGGAAATTTGGGGGTTTTTGGTTGGAAATTTGGGTGTTTTTGGCTCGTTTCGGGGCATTTCTCGGCCGGGGGGGGCTCATTTGCATACATTAGCATGGCCCAATGGTTTGCAGAGGCGTGGGCGGGGCCCGAGGAGGGCGTGGCCGCCCCGCCCCCGCCCCGGCTCAGCTTCGCCCCCGAGGCCGTGGCCAGGCTGGGGGGGGCCCTGGGCCGGGCCCAGCGGGGGCTGCAGCACCTGGGGGGGCACCTGAGCGCCCGCCGTGAGTACCGGGCACACCTGGGCACACCTGGGCACACCTGGGCACACCTGGGCACAGCTGGGAGGGCCAGGACAAAAAAAACCGGGTGAAAATGGGGTGAAAAATGGGGATTTTGGGGGGTAAAAACACACCTGGGCACTCACCTGGGCACATTTTGGGCACACCTGGGCAGACCTGTGCACACCTGGGCACACCTGGGCACATTTTGGGCACACCTGGGGGTACCTGGGATATACCTGAGGGCACCTGGGCACACCTGGGCACAGCTGGGCACAGCTGGGAGGGGAGGGGGGAAAAAAACCGGGTGAAAATGGGGTGAAAAATGGGGGTTTTGGGGGGTAAAACACACCTGGGCACTCACCTGGGCACACCTGGGCACACCTGAGGGCACCTGGGCACACCTGGGCAGACCTGGGCACACCTGGGCACAGCTGGGAGGGCCAGGACAAAAAAAAACGGGTGAAAATGGGGTGAAAAATGGGGATTTTGGGGGTAAAACACACCTGGGCACTCACCTGGGCACACCTGAGGGCACCTGGGCACACCTGGGCACATTTTGGGCACACCTGGGCACACCTGGGCACAGCTGGGAGGGGCAGGGGGAAAAAACCCGGTGGAAATTGGGTGAAAAATGGGGATTTTGGGGTGTTTTGGGGGCGTAAAACACACCTGGGCACTCACCTGGGCACATTTTGGGCACACCTGGGCAGACCTGGGGGTATCTGGGCACACCTGGGCACATTTTGGGCACACCTGGGCACAGCTGGGAGGGGCGGGGGGAAAAAAACCGGGTGAAAATCGGGTGAAATTGGGGATTTTGGGGGTTTTGGGGGGGTAAAACACACCTGGGCACTCACCTGGGCACACCTGGGCAGACCTGAGGGCACCTGGGCACACCTGGGCACACCTGGGCACACCTGGGCACACCTGGACAAAAAAAACCCGGTGAAAATGGGGTGGAAAATGGGGATTTTGGGGGGTAAAACACACCTGGGCACTCAGCTGGGCACACCTGGGGGTACCTGGGCACATTTTGGGCACAGCTGGGCACACCTGGCACACCTGGGCACACCTGAGGGCACCTGGGCACAGCTGGGAGGGGCGGGACGAAAAAAACCGGGTGAAAATCGGGTGAAAAATGGGGATTTTGGGGGGGTAAAACACACCTGGGCACTCACCTGGGCACACCTGGGCACACCTGAGGGCACCTGGGCACATTTTGGGCACCCCTGGGCACAGCTGGGAGGGGCGGGACGAAAAAAACCGGGTGAAAATTCGGTGAAAAATGGGGATTTTGGGGGTTTTGGGGGGGGAAAACACACCTGGGCATTCTCCTGGGCACATTTTGGGCACACCTGGGCACACCTGGGGGTATCTGGGCACACCTGGGGGTACCTGGGATATACCTGGGGGTACCTGGGCACAGCTGGGAGGGCCAGGACAAAAAAAAACGGGTGAAAATTGGGTGAAAAATGGGGATTTTGGGGGGTAAAACACACCTGGGCACTCAGCTGGGCACACCTGGGCACACCTGGGCACATTTTGGGCACACCTGGGCATACCTGAGGGCACCTGGGCACACCTGGGCACAGCTGGGAGGGGAGGGGGGAAAAAAACCGGGTGGAAATGGGGTGAAAAATGGGGATTTTGGGGGTTTTGGGGGGGTAAAACACACCTGGGCACTCACCTGGGCACACCTGGGCACACCTGGGCACATTTTGGGCACACCTGGGCAGACCTGGGCACACCTGAGGGCACCTGGGCACATTTTGGGCACACCTGGGCACACCTGGGCACACCTGGGAGGGCCAGGACAAAAAAAACCGGGTGAAAATGGGGTGAAAAATGGGGATTTTGGGGGTTTTGGGGGGGTAAAACACACCTGGGCACTCAGCTGGGCACACCTGGGCACACCTGGGCACATTTTGGGCACACCTGGGCACACCTGGGGGTACCTGGGCACACCTGGGCACAGC